TCTAGCTCTGATGATGTTCCCTAGTTGGGTCATGAAACGCCTGCAAGGGAGCAACCAAGCTCAGAGATCACCAAGGACCCCACAGTCCTCCTCCATGCAAGACCCCTTCCCTTCTAGCTCTGATGAGGTTCCCTAGTTGGGTCATGGAATGTCTGCAAGAACATAACCAAGAATCACAGAGCACCAAGGACCCCACAGTCCTCCTCCTCCTCCTCCTTGTCTCTCTTCCTCCTCTCCACAATCCTCCCTCCCTTCTAGCTCTGATGAGGTTCCCTAGTTGGGTCATGAAATATCTGAACCAAGTTCACAGCACCAAGGACCCCACAATCCTCCTCCTCTCCACGCACCCTTTTAGCACCGATGATGTTGTCTAGCTGGGTCACGAAAGGTCTGCAAGAAAATACCCAAGCTCAGTGGAGCACCGTGGACCCCAAAGTCCTCCCCTTCCTCCTCCTCCCCTCTGCAAGCCCCTCCCCCTCCCTTCCACTGCAGTTGATATGACCTAGTTGGGTCATGAAACATCTGGGAGGAAACAACCCAGCTTCGAGAGCACCAAGGAGTGACTCAGGGCCGTTTCCCACACTTCTTTATCACCCCTGCAGCATCCTTGTGATCGTGTGATTTACACATTCAGATCCTTGACAACGGGCTCGTATTTATGACTGTTGCTGCGTCCCAAGATGGCGGGATGCCCCTTTTGCCACCTCCCATCAAGCAAAGTCAATTGGGTGGGTGGGGGGGAGCCAGATTCATTTAACGACCATGTCACTGACTTAATATCTGCAGTGCCTCTCTTAACAACGGCGGCAAGGAAAGCGGGGCGGAACTCACTTAAACACAACTTCTCACTTCGCCACATAAATTTGGGGCTCCGTTGTGGTCGCAAGTCAAGGACTACCTGTATGTGATATTTTTTATTTTTTGGCGGGGGGAAGAGTACTCGAGTCCCCTGGAAAGGATCTCCTTGGTCCTTCTACTGGGATCGCATCTTTCTTACGCTCCTCCTAGGCGAGGCTTTCTAAGACCTGCCTGGATTGTCCAAAGACGAGAGGCTGCCACTTGCCAGAAAATTGGGGAACTTGATCTTGAGTTTCGATAGCACCGGGATGATTTCATCGAAGTCGATGAAAATGAAAGCGATGGTAACGATGTTTCCCGCCGTCTGGACGCTCCAGTTCCGATCCAGGGACTCCAGAGCTCCGGAACCGTACAGGCAGAGCACGTCTCCGTCTATTTCAACCAGGTGGGACTCCAGACCCGGCACCACTTTGCCTAAAATCGTCTCCAGGGACCTGGAGAGAGAGAGAGACAGAGAGACAGAGGAGAAAGATAGACACAGAGAGAGAGAGA